TATTGGCAGAGGTGGGTTAGGGGGTTTGTGAAGATGTCTTTTCTGTTATCCTGAAAGGAATAGCTTTTTCAGAATGAAGAACAAACATGTCTTTGCTTGGTTGATGTTTGAAGCAAGCAGATGATGGCTTGTGTTCTGGCTTTGTACTGCTGGCTGACATGGAGTAGTGAGATAGGAAGTGGGATACTAGATTGAGTATCAATGTGAATGTAAGTGATTTACATGTATTTTTACATACAGGATTTTGAAATACCAGGGGAGAAACTCAACAGAAATAAAAAGTGATTCTGTTCTTACTCCTCTATTTTATGTTTACAACCCGGAAAAAAAATCATCTGGTGTACTTGATAAAACTTGATGTCCCTCTTTTTTCCTTTTAATAAGAAAGTTGCTGATAGTCACACAAGTGTGTCTAGGGAGGGAAAAATGAATTGTTACAGATTTTAATGTAGTCTTGATTGTTAATTTATTAGACATTACTGGAAGAAGTGAAGATCATGCCAAACTTTGACTGCAAATACAGAATAATGTTTTAGTGCCTACAAGAATACTTGTAGGTTTGTCTGGAGTCTTGCTACAAAAAGTCGTGGTCTTGTCACAGCCCTGGCAGAAAGCACGGGAGCAGGTTAGGTTAGTAGAGATGAAACTAGTCTTCAGGTGACATGAACACGGTAATAGGCATGGCTTATGCTCTCATCATTTTGCTGCTGTAGGTGTGATTATTGTAATGGGTATGATGTAAACCCGAAAAAAATATTTTCAGATTCTGACTTGACAGAAATGTTCTTTTGTGGGGGAACTTTCTGGACTCCTCATATCTTGGGTTTCTGGTTTACCGGTTACATTGGAAACTTTCACAAGAACTGGAGAAGTCTGACCAATTCTTCCAATAATTTCAGGGTTCTCAGCGCTTGCCAGACAGATACAGAAGACACCCTCTCTTCGGTAGCGGAAAGGACTGGCCGGAGAGCTGGTGGAAATTGCTCAGCCAACAGTTGATGATGGAAGGATTCCTCAAAGAAGTCTCTGGGTATAGCAAGTTTGCAACCATATGTGCACTTACCCAGAAGGTACTTTCTGGTGTGAAACTACTCCTCAGTGACTTCTCTGAGTGATCTATAGCTAAGCCATAAGTTTTATTTCTTACAGGGTAGAAATTGGCTGTTACAAGCTGGATCTGCCTCAAATCCAAGTCTTCTGTTACAGTCCAGTGAAGATCTTAATCTGGAGAAACGTCCTAGAAGGTAATTGTAGTACACTTGTTCTCTTCAGGTTTTTTTTCAGTAATTTAACATCAGATCATCTGTTTCTGAAGCTTGTTTTTGGAGATGACTAAGTTGGGCAGATTTCTGCCCTTGATTTTTTTAGTCAAAGCTTTATTTTAGTTTAAAAAAAAGTCAGTGGGGGAGTGCCTGGATAGAGACCACGATTAACTGCTGGTACGACAAGTGACATGTTGTCTGGTCCTCCTGAAGAGTGCATGTCTCCAGCTTAAATCTGATGGTGCCTTATCGTGGAGGTCTTTGCTGGGGCTAATCAAACAATAGTGTAACTGGGAAGGTTGATGGGAAAATGCAGTTTGGAGAAATTGCTTCCTGGCAAAACTAGTCAAAGTGTTTGATCATCGGTGATTCTGGGTAGCCTGGAAGGGCATACTCATGGAGAGAGTAACTGGCTAAAGACAAGAAATGTTAGAGGAAACTCACCGAGATTTATGTTCTTTCTAATACTGAGTTAAATTGTGGGACTTCAAATGGAGCAGCTAACTACTTGTTTTCCCAATTAGGTACTTGACCTACTTTTATTTAAAATTTCAGCTGAGAATGTGAGACAAAAAACTGAATATTTTTAAACAGTGTCATAAAAATTCCATTTTTGTGACCAGAAAATCTTTGTTTCTTCTGTAAGACAAGATTTTTGTTCCTTGTTAAACATTTAGTGTTAAGGCTTTGAGGTCCTCAGTGTTTTCATCAAGAATGGTCATTCTAGTTATTTAAAAAAAAAAAATCAGTAAGAACTTTTGATTTACTGAAACTATCCCTGTACCAAGTTCAAACTGGTTTGCTTAGCAAAATGTTAGGTTTTTTTAAATGGCAGTTGCACTGTGGAAATGACTTGGTCTGATCTGATTAAGATATAATTCATTTTATTTCAGCAGTAGACCTCTGCCTGTGCTCTCAACACAGCGCTCCCCAGACACGAAAAAAAATATGCGGTCACCAGTCAAGCAGGTCTGTATGGGTATAACCCCTCTTGTGCTCTGTCCTTGTTGGTATTAAAAAATCTTGTGTGTTGTGGTGTCACAAATGAATGTTTTGCTGCTAACAGCAACTTCAGTGGAAAGACTGGTAAATCAGCTCTTGTTTGTCTTGTTCTTCTATTTTTTTATAGATGTCTTTGCGTGAAATGTTTTCATATGAGAGAAAAGTTAAAACTTCTCCAACAAGCAATAATATGCTAACCAGGTACAGTATTGTAAATTAAAACAGAATTACCAACTTTTGAGTGTGTAAACAGGAAACTGCTTGTAGGATGATCCTTAAACCCAGCGTTCCCTTTTGTGAAGTGACAGTAAAAATGTTTAATGTTATTGGAAAAAGTGCTTAAAATTTACTGTACACTGTGTTATATTTCAAAACATTGAACAGGCTTTGTGGAATTTGGCAGGTTGTGTTAAACTTCAGTATACTTGGAGCATGTCACAGGCAAAGCAAGTCTTACTAATTGCTGAAGTACAAACATTCTCACTAGTATTACTTCAAATTCAATAGCAATAAAAATAGCAAATTGATTTAAAAAGGACCAATAGCAGATTTATATTGGATACTTCTACTGAGCTAGTGGTTTGGGTTTTTTAGTCTGTCTTCTGTGTGATGGTTGAAGCTGTAATGGGTTTTAACCTGTGATGATTTCAAATAAGAAATGGAGAACAGTTGTTTTCAAACAGTTTGCAAATATAAATCAGGCAAAAAAAGTGAAGGTTGTGACTTGCCGTTAAAGCTGGCAGAACTTGTGCAGGGATGGTGAAGCTGTGTGAAGGTTTCTGCCTTTCTAGTTTGGAGAAAACAGATCAAGTTGAGGCTCCCTGAGGTCAAAAAAAATAAAACAAGCTTTTGCAAAAAAGCAGACAAAGTAATTTGTTTTTCTGGCTTATGCAATGCTTCAGATTAAACCTACCTTGCATTTTTGAGGAGTTCCATTCCTCCTCTGGTGCTGGCAGAAGACAGGAAAACAGGGTATGTCACTTAAGCTGAATAATTGCCACCATAGCCACATGAAGAAAAATCATTTTAGGGACAGCTACAATCCAAAACTAGTGTTACTTCACACTTTGCTTAGCAGAGCAAGGAAAGGATGCTCTTACTCCAGCTTGTCTTCTAACAGATATTGCAAAACAGTCGTAGCAGTCTAATCGGAGATAGGTGTCCCCAAGTACACCAGCCCATGGACTGGCAGCTGCGGCGCTGCTCTCTGAGCAGACGTGCCTAGCAGTAACATCGGCTTATTCTGCTTACAGCACAGCAGCTGTGGCCTTGTCTCTGGGGCTTTTGAAGTCATCAGTGCTTTTTGGCCAGCTCTAACGTTATCGGCCGTGGGGAAAAATATAAGGTGTTTCTCATGGGGTACTGCCAGAATAATGTCACGAACGGACAAGTGCTTGTAAGAACCTGCTGCTGTTAACAATGTGGGAATCCAGCTGTTGATAGGGATATTGATGTGGGTTTTTCCACAAAAACGGAGTTTTATCTGCTTGAGCTCTGTGTACAGTAAGAGGGTGGTTTTAAGTTACAGGACCAGATACAGAGGGATTCTGTTACATTAGGGTTATTGCTGATTCTGCCCCAAGCAGCTTAAGCCCTGTGTGAGTGCAGTGCTAGCACGAGGTGCCAGACCACAGTCTGGTGCTGTCAGACAGCAGGCGAAGTAAGTTCAGCTGTTCCTTTCCCATGGCTTTGTGCAAGGTTGATGAATAAATTGATCTAATTCAGGGCTTGCTTTGTACTTTTTTTTATTCTTCATTAGTGTTCCAGAGCACTTGCCAGTGAAATCTTCTCCTTTGAAGCCCCCAGAACCTGTTTCATCCCGAGAGAAAGAACTAGAGGTAAGTTTTTTTGGAAGAAGTAGGATATCTGTGAATTGCAGTCCACCACAGTTGTCCTGTATTGGAGCAGCTGGCTTGGGCAGCTCTTAGTATTGCAAAGATTTTTGAATAGGGGTCCTAGAAGAGTATTTAAATATGTTAAAATGGATTAATGCATTGCAGGTTTTTTGGTATATTAGTGGCAAGAAGAGGGAAGCTCTAACTTTTCCTCTCATATGTGAGTGATGTAGAGCTGCTTTATGAGAATCTGGCTCTCTTCTTTCCAGACTGCTCTGTATGGCAAGCTGTTGACTGCTAGACAGAAGGTAGCTAATGAGAAGGTAATTCCTCCAGCTGTCTTGGCAACCAATAAGATCCTGGTGGAGATGGCCCGAGTAAGGTGAGGCCAGCATGCATACATGTTGTACGGATTGAAAACGTTGCAAGCTGAGTCACAAATCCCTGTTCTGCTTTTGCTGGGAGAGTACACTTCATTGGTAGAGGAGCTAGCTATTCTCCCGAGGAATTTTGTTTGCTCTAATACGCTTGTAGACTGCTGACTGGTTTAGGTTAAATAGTTATTGACATCAGACTTGCTGCTTCATTCTACTTTTTATTAAAAAACCCCCCAATGCCAGCTCTGCATGTCTTTGTAATCAAAGCTCCTGTCAGGTTGAGGGGGAAGGTGCATGTTTTCTACTAATCCTTACCTTTCCAACTTCTCTCCAGTGTGTTTTAATCATTTTAGTATGCCCTTATCCTGATAAGCATCAGCTACGGGTTAGGAGCTGCCCCTTACCTTGCATGGGCAGCTCTGTAGCACGAAAGAATAAGCACAATTTAGTGTTGCGCTCTCAACTACTGAAAGAGGGGGGAAGTAGTCTTTTTCTCCTTGTAAGATGGTATTGTGGGGCAGCTCAGTGTAATACATCGGAAGTGTCTTCCCCAGGTACCGAAAGCCATTAGGTAATACCGCTTTTGGAATGTGTATGGGGTTGTTCCATAGAAGATATCTGGGTTTATGTGCTCGTGGGAGATAAAATTAAATAAATACAGTGTGGTTAACTGGTCCTCCAAAGTATTCAGGAGCAAACTTGAAGTTTTTGCTGTGGTCTGGCTTCATGACACAGAAGTGCAAACAGTGAACTTAATCAGTTGTAGACATGATGATGGTCCAGGGAAAGAAATTTCAAGTAATGACTGATAGATTTGTAGTCCAAGCACATGTCATTCACAGAGACTTGATGTTTCAAAGCCTTGGCACAGGACGTTTCAATAGCTTTTACTATTCAACCTGAACCAGGCCTACGACTGTTGAGAACGTGAAGAGAATTGATGGTGTGTCTGAAGCAAAATCCACCATGCTGGTCCCTCTCCTGGCTGAGGTTAAGGATTTCTGCCAAGTGAATGGTTTGCAGGTACGATTTACTAAGGTGTCTGCCACTGTGCCAGAGCGTTAGGGACATAATTTGGTCTGCAGCTGTCAGATTTCTCCTTTAGTGTGTCCTTCCTGCAGCTTTCCTATCCAAGCATGGCAGCAATACTTGTTAGCCTTGCCTACAAAGGGGCCTCCCGAATCTGGATGTGCTGCTTGGTAACAATATCAGGCCCTGGCTGATGTTCCAGGTTGATATTGTCATCTTGAAAGTCCAGGACATCCTTACAACGGTCACCCATCTGACCAGGCTGAGTATCCAGCAGGTGCCTTATTCTGGAGAGCTTGCAGCTAGTTATTTTGATATGGGGTTGGGGGCCAAGAGTAGAGTAAATACTCCTCCACAATTTATTGCCTCAGCAGACTTTGAGGGCAGGGCTTTGCTTCCTCTAAGGTTCTCCTTAGGAGACTGGTAGAAGAGCTTAGATTCCCTGCTGTTGGAAATATCCCTGTTTGAGTTGGCTCTCTTCTCACAGTTGATTTTCTTCTGTCCAAGACTTCATGTAGAACAGTTCCTCGTGGGTCACTATGGCAAGAGATGCCACCAGGGAGGGGCCATGGAGCAGAGGATTGGAGGAACTAGGAAGCAGTTTTGCTTTGAGGATCTTAATTGCTATGTAAATCTACAGTTAAGGGGATTTATTTAGTCTAGAAAGCAGGTAGAGCAGTGATACTCTTCTGCAATGCTTGAAATTTTTTTTTTGCCTCACAGAGAGCTATTACGATCTAGGAATGGGGACCAAAAGCATTCCTGTTTTTCAAGAAATCTGAGCATAAGTTTAAAATAAGTGGAAGATTCTCCCCTACTAAAGAGCAGACAATACCACAGTTTGTTCTGATGGAATAGTTTTATGTGTAATGAGCAACAACTAAAGTTTTGTGTTCACCTGGACACTTTCTGGTGGTTTTTTGGCAAGTGCCTTGGAAAAATCCCATGCTTGTTCTATTAAGATGGGAGCATGTGGGTGCCTGTCCATATTCCCCCTTTGCTTTGCTTTTTTGTGGAACACGGACTTAGGGTCAAAGCCAACCTCTTCAGAGATGAATGACTCCATTTATGTTGCTTTCTCAGATAACTTCAAATAATGGGAGGGTGATCTATGGATTGTTACTGGGATATACTCCTAAATCATCTGTATTTCACTTAGACGGACACATTCCCCACATCTGGATCTACAGATCGGACAGAGGCATCTCCCTGGAAGTGTACTAGATCTAAAGATCAGAAGGAAGCATCTCCCTGGAAGTGTACTAGAGCCCTCTCTCCCTCAGAGCATGTCACCTATGTCCTATTCCAAGAGAAAAATCTCTCTGTGGTAAGTTCTTCCCTGTGGAGGTCCTTTCCTTTATGAGAGCTAATGGTGAGAGGATAGTTTGGCTCTAGACAAACTGTCTGAAACTTTTCTTATCTGAAATAAGTTCAAGGTGAGACATAGCACTGGAGCTAACAAGTTGTAACCTCAAGAGGAAAAATGTTCTTTACAAGCTGGAAAGAAAAAAAATTAGATAAATGGTAGGAGTCACAAACTGTTTTGAGGAGCTTTGTTGCACCGCTGTGTGCCAGTATTCCCTGGTTGCTTTTGGGAATGGGAGGGTGCCAGCTTTCAGTTGTATTTTGGACACTTCTGCCATCTCAATTCCTTCTGCCTTTGTTTCCCTAGAGGACTATAAGTGAGAGCAGATCTCTGCCTCTTTCTGAGGTGGGCACTCATCTGTTCCAAGCGATGAAAGCTGGCTACCCAGTCAACCTGGAGCGAGCTGGTTTGACTCCCGAAGTTCGACAGATCATTTCTGATGTTATCCGTAATCCTCCCATTGACTCGGGTGAGCATCGCAGCCCTTGCCTGAAGCTTCTCATGGTAGTGGCATACAGATGAAGGGAATGAAAAACTGCCAGCTCTGCTGCTGCTTTAGGTAGAAGGAGCCATTCTTTCTGGAAGGCCCATGGATGTGGTGAGGCAGAGCATGGCAATGCCAGAGTCATTGCTTTCTTTTCAAGGTTAGGTTTTAAAATAAAGCAACTGATTAACTAAAGAGGGTAGTCCTTTGCATGCTTTAATGAGGGGCAACTGATAGGTTACAGAATGTGAGAAAGCTGAATAAGGGGCAAGAGGATTTAAAAAAAAATACTGTATTTATATTTTTTCCAAGATACCACCAAAATTCAAGCAATTAGAAAACTTGTTCCTGCAAATATTGAGCTATACCTCATCATGATGACTATTGCACTATTGGAGAGAGAGGATAAAAATAAGTCTCGGGATGGCTCAAGTGTCAGAAGGATGTTGGTGTGGTCAGGTGGGCAGCAGGAAAAACCAGGAGCAGGTGAAGCAAGCAGGGAAGAGGCCTTGTGCAATAAAACAAAGGTTAGTAAAAGAAGGTATAAAACTGGTTGTGTGAAAAGAATGTTTCCTCTTTGTAGGAGCAGATCAGAAGCCCTTTTACACTGTTGCTGTTTCTAGTAGTGCTTAGTGTCTGTCTTCCCAATCCATCTTCCACTCAGCTTTGAGCAGGACTGCCTCCCTCTGCTCTGAGAGCAATGGTCAGAGCAGAACCAGAGGGTTCCCCTTGCAGAGCATTAACCTAGGAAGAGGGCTGCCCCTCTGTGCAGCCTGTCTGTTGTTTGTTAAACGTGTCACTTGAGCTACTCTGTTCCCATGTGGGACTGTCAGCCTGTCTCTGCTGTGGTAGGTTCTGGGCATGTGGGTCAGGCTCCTTGGTGGTCCACCACTGCAGACCGTCACAACTGCAGCTTACTGGTGGCCTCAGGTTAGGGATGAATGCTTTCTGCTCTTGTCCAGCCCTTCAGGCAGTGGATGCAAAAGGTCCCCTGTAAAATCCCAAACTTACAGTAGCTGGGGCAGAGGAAGAAAAAACTGAAATTCAAAGTTCTCCCCAGTATGAAAACCTTTAAGCTGGATCCTTTATAGCCCCAAACTCCATGTTCTGCCCTAGCCTTGCTTCTGTGTGTTGGTACCTGATCACTGACCTGATGTGGGGAAGAGTGGTTCTCTTTCTGCGCAGAAAGCTCTAAGATACCAGAAAAGATGAGAGCGTGAGAAAGCCAGAGATAGTGCCTGCCAGAAATGTCTGTATTTCATGGGTGCCTCTGTTGTTTGCAGCTGCTGGGTGTAGCTGTGATAAAAAGAAGCGTTGTGCCATAAGTCTGAGTCATCAGGGAGAAATCTCAGGAAATAAGGAGCTCACTATTATTGTTTGAGAAAGGCCAGGCTAGTCTTCTGAGCCCTCGGCTGGCCTCTCATTCTCTCCCAGCTGCTTCAGCAGCTTGTACAGAGGTCACCCTGGACTGAGTGGCTCCTGGTGGGAATAGTAAAAAGAAATTTCAAAGTGTAAATCCTTCTGCTGCCTGTGCTAGGATTTCATGTCTGTTCCTAACAGGGTTTGAGGATGGTTTCTTTAACTTTGGCTCAAACAATTTTTCAAGCCTTGCCATTTTGCCAAACTGATGGCTGCTTCTACCCCTAAGTGTTCTGTTTCTACAGTACCTGTGCCTGAGCCTTCTTTTTCCTGAAGTTGACCTCCTGGCAGTCCAATTGCGTGAGCTCTGCTTATGCTGTTTTTCTGCTGCTGTTAGCTGCTGGAGCTAGTAACAGGATTAACGTGCTATTAGAAATCAAATTAGTATTATACAAATGAGTAGACTGCAAATCCAAAAGCTAATCCAAATAGTCTTTTACTTCTTCAGAAGATATCCTGGTTCCAATAACTCCCTGTAGCAAATAGTTTTTAAAACTGCTAATGACTGTTCTTGGATGTTAACAACCTTACATTACTGCTGCTTTCACAGGGTAATCCGATCAATCCGACATTGAAGGAAGGAGCTGAGAAAGCCCATCCGCAAGTGGTGCCTTCAGCTTCGGTAAACAGATGTTCTTACTATAATAAAGCGTGCGGTAGACTTGCCATTAGCGATGCTCTCAGTAATACTGGGATGTGTAATTGATCCACAAGTCTCATCTTGGTTGTTCCCACCTATGGCCAGTGGGCAGTATATAGAATTTATAAGTTAATACCTCTGTGCCCACTATTCCATTTCTAACTGACACCTTTGCTGTAAAAACACATTGAAACGCAGCATTTAGGAGTCAGAAGCAAGTATTTCAAGTTTTCAGAGTCTCTGGGGTGAAGGAACTATTCTCCACTAAAAAAAAAAATGCCCAAGTTCAAGTACCAGTTGCCTTGTGTTTTGAAATAGATGCGTTTCACTTGATCAAATTTTGTTGTGGTGAAATGGGTAAGAAGCAGTTAGTGATCTTATTAATCAAAGATGTTGGAACTCCTTTTATAAGTACAGACTCGCTTACTTGGGGGGGTGGGGAGGAACAACCTCAGAACACAACGGTTGCATTGAATCTGGTCTGTGCAGACCTGAGCATTAATGTGGTGACAGATATAACAGCCTGTGTCCTTCTGTCACATGAAAGGCTGTGCAGAGTGCGGATGAGAAGCAGCCAGGCAGCAGTGGTGTAGCAGGCCACCCAAAGCCCATCACGCTGGCCTCCTGGAATCAGCCCACCCTCAGTCCTGAGGAGGAGGAACTGTTTGCTGACTCCCAGCCCAAGGTGAGACCTCCTGTAGCTCTGTGCCAGCATCAGAGCCTGGACCTGATGAACCTGAGCCAAAACCCCAGCTTCTGTTTGGGTTCTCTGCTGTGCCTATGACTGTGGCCTGGATTGTCAGCCAGCTTCACTTGTTGCTATCCTTGCTGTAGTGACAGCATGCTGCTTTTATTGCCCTGGCTGTGCCCAAATATATCACTTTGACAGCATCAGCCTGCTACAGGCATTTCTTTCCCCCGTATGTCTTGTCAGCTTCTACTGGCAGATGCTTCCAGCACCTTCAGAGGATGTTTGGCTCCCTTTCCCCTTCAAGGTATAGGGTTGTGTGAGATGGTATGCTGGTTGCATCAAGGATTTTTGCTCCGCTGTTCATGTAAACACAAGCTCTATGAGCATACATGTAGTGTTTTTTCTAAAGGAGAGCTCATGTGGCTGTGACCAGCACTACTTGCTGTACAAGTTTGAAGCTGGCCATTGATCTGAGGGCAAAACCTGATGCAGGTAAATGATTATTCATGGTCTGGTCAGTTTATCCAAATCCCTGAAGTTGTTAGGTAGGTATAACTCTTAAACAGCATGGCAGCTACCTTCTTTGAACCACTGAATATACTGCAACATTATCTCTTTGGTTGCTGGCAATAGCTTCAGAACTTGCAGAAGATCAGTTCCCAGTAAAGCCCCTTGGCACCCTTCCTGCCTCAGACAAGCTGGCCACCTCTCTCCTGGCTGTTTCAGTTAAGGGAGACAGAAGCCTTCCCCTAATAATGTTGGGGCAGAGCTGCATAGTTATGTCAGACTGTAACTGCTTGCCTTCTTCCACATATTTTTTTTTATTCTTTTTCCAGACTGTGCATCCCCCTTGTAAGAGAAAGGTGCCGGAATGGTTTGGAGCCACAGCAGTACCTGTTCTACCCCTAACACAGACCAAGAAATCCAAAGCAGACACAAGAAAAGGGATTTTTAACTGAATACAAGAAACTGCAGATTTATTTTTACCTTCCTTCCCCCTGTGAGAAGCATCTTCTAAGCCCTGTCCTCCCTGCTCCCCCTCTTTCCTCCTCATTCTCCCTGCTGCCTTGCCTAAGGTGAGAGGGGTTCGACCCTGGCAGCACATACATACTTTTCACTGTGTGAAATTTATTATTATGATTTAAAAAAAATAAATAAACGAGGTTCCGAGGCCGGGTTTAGGAACCGTATATGCGGCGCCCTTCCACCGCCGCCTCTCCTCAGCGCTCCGCCTGGCAACACTCCCGCCCAGCCCACTTCCGGGGCGGGGCCAGCCCGCGGGGGCTGCCGGGAAGGCGGGAT